AAACAAGTCACTGCAGAGTCCTTTATTTTCTGGAAGCACACAGGGAGCACAGCACCTCATTCATATAGAGTCTGGGTCACACCAGATACGGTAGTTGTGAATTACAAATGAAGAGACAGAAAGACATGTCTTGGTGAGAAATATTCTTACAACTGTAACATCAGCAACAGGACCACCACAAATCCTGAAGACAGGCTGGGCCAGCAATGAGTGACATTAGAACTGCTCTGCAGAAGATGATGGACTGTTTATTGGTTTAGAAACAAATCTAATTACCTGTTTCCTCAGAGCATCCTTCAGCTCCTGATTCCTCAGACTGTAGATGAGAGGGTTCACTGCTGGGGGAACAACCGAGTACAGAACTGAAACCACCAGGTTCAGTGAAGGGGAGGAGATGGAAGGGGGCTTCAGGTAAGCAAACAGACCAGTGCTGAAAAATAGGGAGACCACGGCCAGGTGAGGGCGGCAGGCGGAAAAGGCTTTGTGCCGCCCCTGCTGCGAGGGCATCCTCAGCACGGCCCTGAAGATCTCCACGTAGGATACCACAATGAAAACACAACAGCCAAATGATAAACTGGCACTAACCACAAGAATCCACATTTCTCTGTGGGAAGATTGTGAGCAGGAGAGCTTGAGGATCTGGGGGATTTCACAGAAGAACTGGTCCAGGGCATTGCCCTGGCAGAGGGGCAGGGAAAATGTATTGGCCGTGTGCAGCAGAGCATTGAGGAACCCACTGGCCCAGGCAGCTGCTGCCATGTGGACACAAGCTCTGCTGCCCAGGAGGGTCCCGTAGTGCAGGGGCTTGCAGATGGCCACGTAGCGGTCATAGGACATGATGGTGAGGATTGAAATCTCTTCTGAAAACAAGAAAACAAACAAAAATAGCTGTGCAGCACATCCTGTGTAGGAGATGTCCCTGGTGCCCCACAGGGAATTGGCCATAGCTTTGGGGACAGTGGTGGAGATGGAGCCCAGGTCAAGAACAGCGAGGTTGAGGAGGAAGAAGAACATGGGGGTGTGGAGGTGGTGGTCCCAGGCTATGGTGGTGATGATGAGGCCGTTGCCCAGGAGGGCAGCCAGGTAGATGCCCAGGAAGAGCCAGAAGTGCA